GCTGGTATATAAAAGAGGGGATTGTAATGTGTGTGTAGATAGTGAGTAATTGAACTGCAGTCGGTAGTATTGTTGACGTTCGTTGATTAGCGTTTGTTTTAACGCGATTGTTGAAGTTAAGTGTATCGCAGAGTTATATTCGGAAAGAATAAACCAGTTTTATTAAGTAAAGACTTGTGTCGCTTAAGTTTCGTCGGAACGAAGTTACGGAAAATAAATTAACAAACGGAGACGTAACAGTATAATTCAAGTTGACAACTATTTTCTAAGCAAATTTTTCTGGGATGGTATCGAGGTCTTTCTTCGATAATTCTCATTGTTACTTGAAATACTTTTGTGACACAATGCTATAAGATTGACAATCGTGTATTTTGAATACTATTATACAAATTGCTGTCAAATAGAGACAATTGTAACAAACTGTGATATGCATCTACATTTATTGACAGTGAACATCGTCTTAAATCCGCAACTATTGAAAGAATTCGTGCTTGACTTAAATCAAGATTTAAAATAATATATTAACCTCAGTACGTACACATAAAGGCACCGATTGAACAGCCTTTGTATTCTCCGTATAAATAAGATTGAGGCAAAGTAAGTTTATCTTTAGGACCCAAAAGTATAGTAATTCGTTTTATCTCTATTCATTTCCTCTCCAACCTTGCTTGGGGTATTGTGCCCAAAGCTCCCAGCACGTGGCTCCCGTGGGCGACAGTTAGGCGCTAACATTAGCTCGAGTGCTATTACGTTCATCACGTGCTTTTTAACTCGCTATCAAGTTTTTCTCAGAAAATTCTTCATTCACTGCACCAGGCATCAGAAGTTTTAAATTTCATACTTTTTCTTATATTTCACGAATAATACAGCTGGTTTTTATCCTCTTCGAGAACCGCCTAATGTTAATAACGCGCCAACCAAGGTACAAATCATTTCAAGGCATTGAAGCTGAATCATTGGGGGGGGGGGGGGATTTTGTATCCATATTAATTAAGAAGACTCTGATGAAAATCACAACAGTTAGCAGAAAAAGTGCTTGTTTACCTCTCCACCCCCAAGAAGGATTAAAAAAATAACAATATAACTAACATATTTACGCTTTTGTTCTATGTTCTATAAAGCTACAGTTAAAACGGTACCAGACTACATGTTGCAATATTTCGCTTTAGAAAAATCTAAGATCTTTCAGGGGCTTAGCAACTCTTTTTTTTCACTCAACAAGTGTTAAAATTAAGCCTCCACATAGTCATCTTTTCTTGACAAAACGTAAAGCGCTTTACCTTCCATCATATTAAGACGTAAAGTGCTTTACATTCTATTTTATGAAGACGTTTCTTACAGCATATTAACCGAGTTTTTTTTTGTCACCACTTTTTTCGGTTATTGTTAGTCTCCGAAATTAACCAGTGATTATAATATTTCGCAACGTTGATGCATTTCTTTGGAAGTTCAGTCAGTTGATATAGAAAGATACAATTGTCCTAGAAGGGTCAATCCCCATTATTTCAGTCGAGTTACCACTCTTTCAAACTCGAAATTCTAACATAGCAAACTATTCATCTATTCACTAAATGTTATACACATACTTCAAGGGATTATAATACTGGGTTGTGCAGAAATTAAACTTGGTTGTATTACTTTTGTTAAATGTCAAGCTCGAGATGAATGGTGAAGATTACAGAAAAGTTAGCTTATTTTTGACAACCATGGCCACATTACCTTATAAACAACTCGGACTACAAGTACGTGATATTTTCAAGCCGCTGTTTACCTTCCGAGTGTTGCCACTGTGCAGCCATATCGGATCCTACGTGGAGCTTTGTGTCAAATTTTGTCCTTGTTCTGTTTAATGTTAAAGAAAAGAGGACACAAATGGTGCCACTGTGCAGCCATATCGGATCCTACATGGAGCTTTGTGCCAAATTTTGTCCTTGTTCTGTTTAATGTTAAAGAAAAGAGGACACAAATGTTGCCACTGTGCAGCCATATCGGATCCTACATGGAGCTTTGTGCCAAATTTTGTCCTTGTTCTGTTTAATGTTAAAGAAAAGAGGACACAAATGAGCTAGTCTTTCAACTTAGCCAATCTATACAGAGTGAAGAGAATATGGTGTCCTCTATTAGAATTTGTGCATGTCTGTGTTAAACTATTAAAGCAATGAGCGTCTAATTCTCATTTACCTTATATGTATGTGCATTATCTTCAAATCCGGGGTTCGACTTCCTGCGGTGGACACAACACATAGCCCAATATGAAATTATCTTTATGAATAATACTGCTGGTTTTTATCCTTTTCGAGAACCGCATAATGATAATAATGCGCCAATCAAGGTACAAATCATTTCAAGGCATTCAAGCTGAATCATGAGTGGGGGTTAGAGTGATTTTATGATGTTCTGTGGCCAACCTACTCTTCCTTCTCCCCCCACCATACGAACACTGGCTCACCAACTGGATTTTTAATTAACTCATTTTTTTTTATGAATTTCGAGGGAACGAGCTAGTTGATACCACAACCAAAGTACATTACCTTCAAATCTGGGGTTCGACTCCCTGCGGTGGACACAGTAGATAGCCTAATATGACTGCTCTAAAACTAAGTATGTTATCTTCAAAGGAAAATATTTTGGTCAATAAAAGATTTCTATGGCAAGTGGGATGCCAATTTTGTAGAGTAACACCTTTATACTTTTTCTAATTACTGTCTTATTTTTATTTTATCCCCATCACACCAAACATGCTCGCCCTTTCAGGCGTGGGGGAGTTATAAGGTGACAGTCAATCCCACTATTCGTTGGTAAGAGTAGCCCAAGAGTTGGCGGTGGGTGGTGATGACTGGCTGCCTTCCCTTTAGTCTTATACTGCTAAATTAGGGACGGCTAGCGCAGGTAGCCCTCGTGTAGCTTTGGGCGAAATTCAAAACAAACAAACAAACAATTTTTATTTTCTAAAATCAGAATGCCCTAACTATTTCCAATTTTTCAGAGTACTTTGCCTTTTCTACTCTTAATTTTTATAATTGCAGATAAGGTTTTATTATTGCATATATTTATAGTAGCTGTTGCTTGCTTATATAGAACTGGTGCTGTTTTACACAGCCTTTTGCGGCATTTACAATATAACTATAACAATATAACTGTACCAGCATATGGAACATTCCATTCTCACTTGTTTTATTCATTTGTGAAAACCTCGACCATCCAAAATGAGATCATATTATATCCTACATGAGGGCGAGAAAAATGCCCCATAGCAAATGAAATCCTTGATGGTAAGAATTATGCCATAAGAATTGTATCGACTGTCAAATCCTAGCATCTAAAACTACTCCAGGTTCATTAGTTTTGGTAGGATACGCCTATTTTCTCAATTACACCGTGCTCGTCAGTCTTCCTCTATCTTTCTTTCCGAATATTTTGCGTTGCGTGCATAATTTTGTGTACAGAACACATTAACACCCTCTAATTTATATCCGATTTAGTGATGATAGTATAAATATATCCACTTTTAGTACCTAGGTAGATCTGATTGTTTTGTTTCCGTGATCTTGTTCCTAAAATTGCAATATTTAAACTTATTTAGCAGAGATAGCATACACGAGAATTGTTGAACGGTGTACTGTCGGTTACGTAAAAACGAAATGATAAGAGTACACTCATATGTAGAAAATTGTAAGCTCTACTTGAATTTGATGGTACTAGCTCAAGAAATGAGAATAATAAAATTGTCCTTTTTCAATGCGGTATAACACTTGGATTAGTAATGATGTGAAGCTCTGTAACAAAT